GCATTGTGTTTTATCCCTCCAAACAACAGCCTCTTCCTCCCTCCTGTCTCCTGCCACGCAGGGGCATGAAAATCTCGAGCTCTTCCAAAGCCTACCTGCTACATTCTCATGCGGCTGATTATTATACCCCCGCGTCATACGTGCGTTAAGATCCTCTACTTCGTTGTTCTCACGTGAAATTTATCACTTGGAGTATACGTCGTCGTCATGTCAACAGGTGGCACTCATCATTTTACACAGACATATTATCAAGTATATACGAAGTGTAGTATATACGAGCGTGATAAAGAATACATTATCCAAATATATCGAGCCTATCAAGTTGCGACATTTATGATCACGTTCGCGACCTCAGATTCGACCCTAGAGATGTTTACGATATTTTTACACTTAATATTGACTAAATAACTACTTTGCTTAAACGTAAAATAAAATAATTTTTTATAATATTTATGCAAAGTGTATATATAATATTTCGTAGTCCACTTTTATCGAGAATTTAATTAATAATGTAGCTTAGATTAAACTAATTAAACTTTTCGGTTAAACTTTTAATAACGCATATAATCTAATACAATGCATATGCGTCACAATTATATATAATATAATAATTCTATTATTTTAATATAATATTGTGATGTTATTTTTTATATATTACATTTCGTATTGTTGTTGACATTAATAATGTAAATTAAAGTTATCAATTATCGATGCTAATCGGACATCAATATTTTTACGTTTCATTGATAATTATTTCGATGCTTCTCGTATGTCTGTCATTTTGCATATCACAACGGATTGCGTTTTTGAACGCGAAATCTACGGGAAATCTTATCCCGATTTCATTATCGGTAAGTCGCCGCGATCTAATTATTGCCGACCGGCGTTATGCATCCACAATGAAGGATAATTATTTTAATTATCCCTTGCGCTCTTGACGACAAACGAGCTGCATCCTTACGATGGTGCGGACAACGTTTCTTCCTTCCTCTCCGCCGCTTTTCTTTCGTTAAGTGGTATTTCCGCTTCTCTCTCTCACTAGCCCCCCCCTCTCCTATCCTTACGCTTCGCATAATTCATCGCTCCGGGTTAAAATCTAAAATCCACAAGCGCTCTATCTCTTCCTATTTCTCTTTATCTCTTCACTTTTCTCTCGTCTCCGTAGCTCTATCCTTCTCCACTCGGATATGTTTCGCTCTTCATATCCCTTTTAGTTTCTCTTTTCTCATTTTTTCCCTTCGTGTATTCTCGCGTCGACAAAGTACGAGGTTTATACGTTAACTCTGTCATTTGCAAGAACGACAGACAAAAATGTTTTCGCGGCGTACACATTTCAAAGACTCGTAGCGTCCGTCAATCTCTTGCCATCATGGATGCACGCAACCTATTCACTTTCTCATGCTCTTACACGTCCTTCCCCTTCTCTTTCTCTTCTTACCTTCTCTTCTCTTGTAAAAATATTCTTCTCTCTCGCGCGCTCTGTTCCTCTTCGTTTCTCGCGTTTTAGCTTTGCGGCTAGATGAAAAAAAATGAGTGGGCGGAATGAAATGGCAGGGGGAGATGCGAAGGGGTAGCGAAGAGAGCGGAAGCGCATCGTTCGCAAAAGCTTATTTCTCCACGCTCCTTCGGCAAGAACGGATAGGTCTCCTTTATCACGCTCGCAATATACACCACGAAGGTAGCTGCTACTCGCAAAGGTATCCCGGATACGAAGCACGCTGCTTTTAGAAATATCGTCTCCGCTAAGCGACGACGCCGACGACGACGATGCCGACGGCGTTGACGGCGGGCGGCGGCGACGGCGGTCGACGCGCTCGACGGGCGGTCGTCGCGACGCACTCGTGGGGCAACGCTTTTTCTTGCCTCATATTGTTGTTTCACCGCGATATAAACTCGCTTGTCTGACGGCAACAAGCCCCGCCCGAGGGTAAACGCGCCAGTCAAACCGTGACGGAGCGATGTGCCCTTTTTTACATCTTAGCCGTGTTCCGACATTCTCCCGATTTAGCACGTTGCATCAAATGACACGATTCTATTTCACGAATGCAATTTGCGACTTACTTTTACTAGACCGAATAAAATCCTACGCTCGATTACGTGGGATTTATGCTCCTATTAGTTGCAAGCTCGCAACGTAAAATGTAGAAGTCTTATCTAGGTGCATGTTTGTGCGAATGCAATGTCCTAAAAAATATTCGAAAAAAGATGTTAAAAATAATAAAAATTTATTGAACATTTTATTCATATATTTGGAAAGTTGGATAAATGATATATTCAATTTTATCCGAGCTTGTGAAATAATGACAAATTATCGTGTACCTTCTCTCGTTACAGTGATGTTAATTAAATAATGATGATAGAATATCAGATTGTCTTTCAATACATTGTATCGATTATATTATATGATGAAGGACTAACAACTGCCGGATCAGTTTCTCAATAAAGAATTCATATATGAACAGGTTCAAAACAACAGACACATAATCTCATATGAATCATTATATGCATGAATGTGCAAATGTCATTCAATTCGATTATTATTCATGCTGCGATTTTACTGAACGTGCTATATTATTCATAGAATTATAAGCAAACCGAGAAACAGTTCTCTAGGGTCCTGATTTATTGCATTATTTAATGCAGTTAAAACGAATTTTTATGAAGTACCGCAAGTTGTTACAAGTGCAAAGTTTGATTTTATTATGCTACAACTGTGAGATTGTCTAGAAATTGTACAACTTGCTAAAGAAAAATATTTAATTGATAAAAAAATATCTCAATCGTAATATACTCTAATGGTCAAAGAATTAAATAAAATAACATTGCTACAAAAGTACATTCTAAATCGTATAGTTTGAACAAGTTTGTCACGCGTCCACTCTTTTTCTCTTATGAATGCTCGTAAAAATCGTAATCATAGTTTTATAGTTGATGTCTCCTCCGAGACGCCAGTCCAACCCTCCGTAGATGACCTTTGACCTCGCGCAAAATATTCACTGGTCCTTGTGAGGGATTCCTTAACGGATTATGTATTGTCAATGACGGGGGAGTGGAAAGGAGGGAGAGAGGGACACCATTTTCAGCACGTTTGTCCTCGCATAGAAACACCCTTTTACGATTCTGCCGCGAAGCTCTGCGAATCACTCTTGGGAATTCAGGTTTTATAGACCTTTTGCTGCACGAGCGAAGCCGCTCGGACCAGAAAATTACGCGGCACTGTGTTCCGCCATGTTCAAATGGAATCTTTAACGAAACGATTTAAGCAGTCGTGGGTTTTCCTACGTGGTATATATTCAGCTATTACGAGAATCATATTTATATTTGACCTATTCGCCATTCGCTATGATTTCCATTTTCCATTTTATTTTTTTGATGGTCTCTAAAAAAGGAAACAAGAAATGAAATTGCATGAGATTCAGAATTTGTTATATATGTGCGACACATTCTCGAGTGTTTTCCTGCTTCCTTTACCCGGTACAAGGCATTTCCGTAAAGATAGCGAAATAATTGAAAAAACCTTACGCGCAGCTGCAGCGGCAGCGCGCGAAATAATGCTGGGTCGCCGTAAGAAAATTAGATTCGCACCAAACAGAAGTTAAGAGACGAAAATGGAAAAAGCTGGTTCTGAAAGCTTTTGGATGTAGCTGTTTAAAGCGCGTCCTCGCTCTATACACCGATTCACGAGACGCAAATCCGCTTGCAAATCGGGCCATTGGCTTACAGTTTCTGCTCTTTTCCTTTTCTCATTTCCATCTGTCCCTACGCGCAAGACATCACAAGTCAGTAAATCAGTCATGCTAATTAAATCCATTGCTTCGCATGCATTATATTTCATTTGCAATACATATTTACAATTAAATTGTTATAATCATAACATATCGTTATCAATAATCTCAGAATGATATAAATATTCTTCATAAATATATTTTTTTTATTCTGTTATTATATTTATTCATAATGACTACAGAATCAAATTTAAAAAATATTATTCCGTAATTGGAAAATAATTTATATAATAAATTATTCAGATATATATTATATGTAATATTTTTTCATTTAAATTATTTAATATATAAATGTATAAATATTCTCTGATAGACAGAACGAAATTAAGGGAATTAATAATTATAAAATCATGTGTGTTCAATCAATTATCATGTGTGTAAATTCTAAACGAATATCGATAATTTGAATTTTTCAATTTAAAAATATGGATTATTATTTTGCGTTTATGCGAATACACATTCGTACATTATAATTATACAGTATAATTTTATGATACTGGTTTTTATAAATTTAACGTTTATAACTAATCCATTGCGGTTGAAAATTATAATCTTTACATGATCCACTTAAGATTATTTTTGTCGATTTGGGAACCATGCTGGTTAATGTCGCTTTCGGCGTAATACATTTTTGCTATTGATTTTTATCCAGTTTATAACATTTCAGTACCTCTGTAAATAATACAATTACTATTTATTATATTTGAAATTATTTTAACTTTTCGAACGATATCAAAACGAATTTATTTTATACGAATAACTCTTTGTTCGGATACAAGATATTATATCCAATATTGATAGGTAAATTCCTTTCAGTTTATCTCATCTACTCGATATCGTCAGTATTAAGCACTACTTTTAATTTCCTCTCTCTTCAAAGTTTCCGAGGAACATGATCGGTTTTTTATATACATAACATTGAGAAACTTACTTTTTAACGTATCGATATTTTGCTGATAAAAGTGAATGTCAAAACAACATATTTGCGAAAAATCTTGGCAGACTTTAATTCTGATTATCTATGCACATAATAATTCTGTGCTGTATGCATATTTGATAAAATTTTCAATATAATTTGTGGCTTTCATTACATTTTGAAAAATGAAGAAATTATTGCTAAATGAAGAAATTATTATCCACTAAAATATTAAAAAAGGAATAAGGTAAGACTTAGTAGTGTTTACTAATTTATTGTTGGCATTTAAATGTATACAGGGCAGCAGCAATTGCTGTATCTTGGCATCCGCACGGCATGTACCTGGCATCTGTCGATCGCGCCAAGACAGCGACAGTTTGGGGCGACCATGTTTGACAGGAGGAGTGATCCCGGGACAGACGATTATTGTTTCACGCATGAAGGCCTCATGCCATTCTCGAGCATCTCGCAACCGTGAAAACATAGCGAACGTGCGCGCGTTCACGTTAGCAATGCAGCGAGAAAATCACCCAGTGTACGCCCAGCAAGAGGATAATCAAAATTGTTGGTCGATTTGACCGCGCGGGTTGTAAAGCCTTGTAAGGATGCTGTTTCGAGGCTGTAAAGCGCAGACACCACACTGAACAAATCCAGAAGCGGTAGAGACTATTGTACATAAAATTGCACTTATTGTTTCTCCCAGGTTGTAAAGATTCCCTTTTTAGAATAGTAAAACGCCGCACCGCGTCGTCTGCCCACAGGAAATTTAAGAGATTATCGTAGTTACTGGTGTTTCGAAATTCGCTAGGTATACGCTTTTTTTTGCTAACTCTGAGAGTACAGTCGTGTATCAATCGTCTGTACCGCCAATTCGGTCGCCTTCATGATCGAAAGTCTATATATGGCATTCATTCGTGTAAAAAAAGTGTAGAATATTTTTTTGTACGAATGGATATTAACCCGTTATAAAATATATACCCCCTAAAATTATTTTCTTTTTAACAGAAAGTCAATTATTGAAATATTTCCTAGCAGAACTGGATGTCAACATACAAGCACGATAAATGATATTTTTTGAGATGTAATGAGATAAACAAATACATAAACACTAATATAAACGTACTAGATTTGAGTGAGAGAGATTATTTTCTCAGAATTAATTAGCATTAATGTTAAAAATAATTTAAGAGTTATTTCATATCTACAGGAACAAAATTAGGTTTATAATTTAATTATAGTATATATTATATATTTTCCTTGTGTTGAAAATTATTTTATAGATATCAGATACAGCTTTAAGAATTTTATTCTTATAATTTGTAAGATTAATTCCACTGAAATAATCTCACTCTAATTTACGACATTATTTGTAATTCGATTTATCAGATTCTTTAACATCTATGAAATTCGTATGTCTTAATATAATGATAGAATGAAAATCAGAAATATACGAAAAACAAGCACAATAATTGTATGATATTGATATTAATTAATTATGTTATTACATGATTTACGTATAATTAATTCACATAACTTAATTATTTTTACTGATAAATGCGATGATTAATTAAAATTAAAATTATTTACATATGTTTTTTTTAAATAATCTAACATTAAGTCTTAGAGAGAATTATAACCATCTGATCGAACGGCTCTATCAATATAAGCTAAAACATCAAATTTTTGTAACTATAATAATTTGCTAAGTTTTTAGCATTTTTGACAATCACATAAATTTTTTACCATCATATCGCGTATATGATAATATTTTATTATGTCCATCATTCTCAGGAATAATGTGCACCTATCCGATTTTATATTTATTATCACATATATTTCTATTTCGTAATGTTTTTTTGCTGTTTTATTTTTTTACAGAGCTCTTCGGTCAGTGTGTTTGATTTTATTATGAATATATTTGCATAAAAATTGTAGTATTTGAAAAAAAATTATTGTTTTGTCCTCAAATTTATATATTGTTTCGTAAACCTTACAAAAGAATTATTTAATTGCGCATTTATATATATTATATATATGTATAATCAATCATTCTATATGCAATACTTATTTGCCAGTTGTTAAAAGTGGTCGATCTCCAATTATTAAAATAAAAAATTAGTTATTCGCAGTTATTAGTTGGTTCGCATATAGTATATATTTATATTAAAATTTCACTTTTTAGTATCTGGGAATTTTGGTTATATATTTTTGAAAGAAAAATAGATATTATCTTCTAATGAAAATTAATGACTACATTTTTTCGTTATTAATACGATAATAATAAGCTCATGTTTCGAGCAGACAACTGATTGCGTCCAAAGTATTGTGTAATAATTTTAATATATATTGTAATTTACACATCTCATTTTGATTTGACTATTAAGCCATACATATTGTACTCTCTTTTCCTCTCTATACATACAACAACAATCTTAACAGAAATGTTATATACATTGTTCACATATGTAAATATATATTAAACGTTTCCCTCTTGTATTTTGTAAAAATGCGACTTGTTCTTTGAATTCCTAATTATCCCAGTAAATTTTTTATTTATAATAAGTTCTTTTAATTTGTACTCTTGTATGTACATATTTCAGAGCAATCTATATAAAACGTATCATTTCTCAATAGCAACAAAATACATCAGAGAGCAACGGTAAGTACCAAATAAGAATAATAATCATGTATCATTATTTTTAAGATACAATTGATGAACGCTATATAAATAAATTAAAATTAAAAATTATAACATCATTATACAAAAACTCGTATTACATTATTTGATTTAAGACTACGCATTTGGAATTTTCAATACAGCTGCGAAATTGCCAATAATTCTATACAGATTATTTCATTTCGATACACTTTTTACACACTCTGTTATTTTTTACTCGAGACAAGTGGGCTTGTTCACCACACCCTAATCCCGATTTTCGCTTCTACCATCCCTTCAACAAACGGTGTGATATATATAACACACACCGCCGTACGTATCGCATATACACTTGCATATGTACAAATGTATATACGTGTGTGTGTGTGTGTGTGTATCACGAGATCCCCTCACAAGAGCTCGCCGCGGCATTGCACAGCAACCGTGTACCTGACAGTACCTAATGTGCTTTCGAAAGCGCTCATTAGTCACTGAAATGCGGTCACGAAGTGACAACTCGCACGTGGAATATTATACGCTCCAAGAACTTGCATCGGCACTCATATCGAGGCTCGCGTCCGCGTGCTCGCGCCAACACGTCTATCTTCTCCTCTCTCTTTCTATTTCTCTCTCTCCCCCATCCCTCTGTTTGTAACTTTCGTATTATACACCCTTTGTCCGCGATTCGACAGTTTCGACAGTTTTGCAATGGAACGTGAGAACGCGGCAACCCGCTCGGCCGTTCGAGAGAAGCCGCTTACAAACGACGTTAAAGTTCGATCGGCCGGCCGCATCTGCGACCGCTAAAAATTTTTCCCCGTCATGATGTACGCGCGTATATCGGATGTTTTATCCGAAAACGTGTACACGATCTCAGTACGTTTTTACTACGAGTGACCAATCCCCCCCCAACGAAAATCGCTGCGAATTCGTTACGCGACAATGATAAAATAATTTCGTTCAGTCTCGCAAATTAAAAAGTTTGACAGTCTTTATACGCGCAAATAGCGCCGTCCGTGACAATTATTTTCGAATAATTAATGTATCGATTTATCTACAAAAGTTTATATAAGTAAATCGAGTTTCTACGGTCGATGCGCTATTTCAAGTATTTTAACGACGGTCAAAGAACGAATTTCCGCGCGTTTAAGTCAATTTGAGGGAAGTCGGGAAGGATTATTTTCGTAGTTCCCGGAAGTAATCATCCGCACAATGTTACTTTCTAAAATCAACACCTTTGTATCGCATTTATTTAGGTATCGCGTTTCGCTTCCTCGTTTCGCGCTGGTACCTGCGAGAGAAGTACCGTTTCTACGATTACAATCCGCACGTTCGCTTCACTCTTGGGCCTAACCAACGTCAAACGTCCCTATTAACGGTTATTTCGGTCGTTTATTTCAAAGATAATGAGGAAGATGTTGGCAAAGCTCGAGAAGAGGAAATTGTGTACGAGAGTGGAGAGAGTGACAAATTAACTCGTGACTTCCGTGAGATTCAAATCCTTCCTTTGCTTCACAGATAGATCTGCGCATATCACTAGAGGTGGAAAATCTGATAGAAAAGCCGATCGAGCAAGTACCGGTAATACAAAGTTTAAGCGGAATATTTGACCTCCGATATGAGAAACGTTTTGTTTTTTAAAATACACTTACAGATATATATCTTATGAAATTGTTTACGCTAGATGCTTTGACTCGTTGCAATCGATCAAATGCGAAATGCGATACTTATATGTTTTTATATAAGATGAATGAAATATTTTTAATATTATGAATAGTTTTAATAAAATAATGAAAGATTTATATTCGAGCGAAATTATATGCGAAACATAATTTCCTTCCATTTCATGAGAAGACGTCAATATGATATAGCGCGCAAATTAAAAAATCGCGGAGGTGTGTCCAATTAAAACCTTAATGTGTCGGGAAACGGCGGAAATGAAGCGGAACGAGGCTTTATCGATAATTTTCGAGGCATGCGTCAATCACAGTACCGTACTTCGAATGAAGATTGGATATTTATCTGGAGTCGACTCATCCTCAATTAACGTAACTGTGCGTGATATCCAGATGTTTCTGAGCGATCATGATTGGCAGATTTCTTCTTAGACTATCTCGAATAATTTGTATTGATTCGTCTAATTGTCTCCTTAAAATAAAGGAGGAAAACAAGTTGTCATTAAGATTAAAAAAATCTCTCAGTAAAATTATAATATTTTATTTTTTATTCGTCATCTTATAATAATTACTTGTTCAATATCTAAATCCAAAAAGTTTGGAAGCGAAAAATGAAAAATGAAAAACAACTTGAATAATGAATGTTTTCTAAGAAATACCGAATCTTGCAATTTTTATTTGTGGAAACGTGGAATATGAAAGTGAAAATGTTATTCTACACAAATGTTGAAATAACAGTCGCAAATTAAAAGAATATTTTTATTCAATCTCCATAAAAGATCTTAAGAGAACAGTACAATAATATATTATAGCTTTTTTTAATTAAATTCCAAATATTTTGATTATTTTATTATATTAAATGTCATTCTTTAGTGACGCAAAAATTCAATATTTTTATTCAATCTTCATAAAAGATCTTAGGAGAACAATACAATAATATATTATAGCTATTTTTAATTAAATTCCAAAATTTTGATTATTTTATTATATTAAATGTTATTCTTTAGTGATGCAAAAATTCAATAATACGATGGGTGCGCAAAGCATATCCGTATTATTACATAAAATGATAAAAATAACATATATGTGTATATGTATTGATTGACATACTTTTTTCGATTGACATCCTTTATCAATATCAGATATTTCAATAAGAATAGTTGTAGAATATAACAGTGCAATATCATAATCATATGAAAATCATCTGATATTAATAAATACGCTCGCGAACTTTTTAATATAGAAAAGATAATGCATTCTAGAATCTATTGTAAACTCGATAAAAGGATACGCGCACGAAACTATAAAGAGTTTCGTCGGCCTAGTCTATCACACGTATGTCAGTCAGTTTATATAAAATTGAAAACGTAACGATATGACTGACAGGCGATCGCGTCGTCAACAGTGTGTTAATGATCGTAACAGTATCCGATATCCGGTAGATATTGATGACCGGTGATCGACTCTGCACTCGCGCCATTTATGCGGAGATATGCTTGTCGAGTGAAACCAGAACAACGATCGGCCATTTTTCTTGTCAGACACATTTTTAATTACGAAGCGGACTGTCGCTTTTTGCAAACCTCCACGCTGGGCGGCCGAACGCACCACGAATCTTGTTTCTGCCCGGATTTCCTTTTAGCACTTTCTTGCACATGCTACCTGCGATTATCCACGGCTCGTCATTCATACCTGATCAATAAGCTACAGTTAATTGCACATGCCACGGTAGAACGAATCATACGTCAGAGTTCAGCGTCCCAACTGGGATACGTTCGTCTGGTTTTAATTAGCGCAACGCTATATATCCAACGAATCTGATCTATTCCAAACTAGATTAAATGGTCGTCGAGCTTTCTTGCGAATCGAGTGCTCATTTGAAATGGAAACGAAGCTCCCGAGGCAATTCCGCATACGCTTTTTTTTCCACCCTTAAATGTGGTATAAGTAAACGCATTATGTGGTATTCGGGATCCAAAGATGAGTTTGCGAAACTTGAATGATAAAGCACGTAAGTAAGACCAATTTTTGCATTTCAATTCAATCTTATTTATCAGCGATATTTGCAAATTATTCTCTGCTTTACTTAATCGCACTTAGAAATCGGTTAGGTTTGATAACGAAAGTTATACTCAATCTCGTTATACGTTGCTTAATGTGCATAATGATTTCCAACGCGATGCATGGACTGTAGATATGAACTCGAATAATCGATCAAAATCATCGAGAGGAATATTGGGCTACGCGGATATCGGCCAACAGTTGCGGTAATTACCGCATCGCTCACGGTTCAATTAAGCACGCTAGTTTTTTAAACGATTTTTATATACGTGATCACTTCTACATGTTCGCGTGAACCTGCGGAATGTCATCAGTATCCATCAAGCTGAATCATGAATATCCACCACGATGAGCGTAGTTCTCTAAATCGTTCGCATTCAACTTCTTAACGTTGGAATCATTATACAAACTTTCTCGCATTCTATAATTTCGATCTATAATTTTATCTTCTCATAGGCGAGGAATTATGCGCGAAAATGAAGGATCAGCTTTCTTAACGCCGAGAATATGTCGTTGATCGCGAATGAAAAATGGAAAATGAAGTAAAGTTATGCATGGCGATCCCTTTAGCTCGCGCGAGAACGCGAAAGCTCGCATAGCATACGTGTGTACGTAAGACATATACTCTCTCGGAGCCTTCTTTCCTCGTTTCCGGCACGCCGGCCCCGGGATATCGATATTGAAACGTAAAAAAGATTCAATCAGTCGCGAAGTTTCAGCGCCAATCAATCACTCCTTCCCTTCCCGTAGCCCTTCGTCCGTTCAGCTTTAGGACGCGAAAGCTCCCTCGCGCGCGCAGCCCGCACTGGCGCGCCTGATCGCGACGACGACGCTAAAATGGCCGTGAGGGAGGCAAGGAGAGGATCCGGGCAAGAGGGAGAGACAGAGATGGATGAGAGAGAATGACCAGAGTGCGACAGAGAGGCATCGATGAACCATGTGAATTGGACGAGGAGAGAGTAGCATGGCTGAGAGAGCAAGAATGCCGCGGGACCGAATGCGAGAGTGAGTTGGAGAACGAGCTTTCGGGTGCACGACGGAGTCGACGCACTGGAAGCTTGCCGTGCTTGCGGCGGGAGCTTCAGTAGCCGCTTGTACGTCGACCGGAAAACTTTTCACGTTACGTCGTCCTTAGACGCGCAGCGCGCCATCGTCGGCGAGGGATCGCAGGGGGACTCGCAACCCCTCGATCGTTCGGTGTCGATTCTTTTTTTTTTTTCATCTTCGAAAGTTATCGCCGTTATCAGTTATCAGTTTATGACTCAAAAATTAAGCGCGAACAATCGCAAAAAGAATTAAGGAACAGAATTCATCGAGGAATATATAGTGCAGTGTCTGAATCAATGAATCGTCTCCCGTCGACGGATCTCGGAGCCTGAAAGTGTCGATATGAAGGCAGATCTGTGATGGATGAATGAGCGCGCGCGCGTATATATGAGTGTGTAATCGAGACGAGAGCATATCCAAGCATCATGCCAAGTGCCGCGAGATATCGAGATGCGCGTTCTACCCTTTCCGTGTCGCTTCTTTGCGTTCTTCTTGTCGTCATTACCGGTAAGAAGTAGAGTCGCGTAAAGTGAGATTTGGTGGAGATTTAATGCTTGTTTTATTTTTAAACTGAAAATCTATTAATTCCTTGTTGTATAGTTTCAAATTAGTGCAATTATGTTGCGCGCCAAATGTGTCCCGAAAATGATAGATAAAAAAAAATGAATACTTTGTCTCGTTCGACAAGCCGAAAGAATTTCGCGTGTTCTAGTAAAACAAATAGGCGATTGCACGTTTGGTCGATATATGTAAATGTGTACATGTCGCTGTTATGAAAATAATATGCAGAAAATTAATTGATAATACTTGAATAAATGGTATCCAATGTAGGGAATAATAAAAAGAAGCAATAAAAAAAACAGTGACTTCGAGGGGATCTATTTTCAAGTTTTTGGGAAAATAAAAAAAAGATAATTTTGCGTATGAAAGTAGGAAGATGAGACAATGTCAGATTTTATACGGGGACCAGTTGCCAATGGTCCCACGGTGGTTTTAAGTTTGAACAAAAAGCTCGATTTATCGTGAAATACGTGCGTTTTCTCAACAATTGCGCTCTATCTTTTCTTCGCAAATGGAAAAAGCGGATACATATAGTCATAAAAATCGAATGTTTAGGAGTATCTCGTAAGTCCGGTTCTAGAGAGGCATCTTCGAGAGAAAATCTCTATTTCGCGTCTCGACCGAAATTGGAGGACGGGTCAAAGAAGTTGATTCGAAACAAGTTTTCCGGTGTTTTAAACAAAGAAAACGGCAGTTTCGATCCATTCCCCAAACACGCCCAGATTATAGTTCTAAGGGTCGGAGTTTGGGAAAACGGTTATAGAGTCTGAGCCAAGGAGTCGCGCTTCACTTAAGAAGACTCCATAAAGCTACCACCCGGGATTGGGATAGAAAGGGATACAAAGAAGGGGGAAACTTCTCTTTCTCGTCCGATCGCATTCGATTTCGTCAGCGTAACCGAGGGTGATCATCGTTCGATGACCGCGCCTGCCGTTCGATCCTTTCAAGGTAGTGGCGCGGCATCGCGATACGCGAGATGAGAAAAACTACCGAAGCAAAACTCTCCTTCCACGACGAAAGATCGGTATGTCCGATCTAGTGAGTCACCGCGATTTCTGTCCTTTTGTCCGAGGCGAACCGATCGACGGATAAAATTAGAATGCCTTTTGTATCGTCTTAACGAGATGAAATGGCAAATATCCGATAAAACGGAAAGGAAAGCGAAACATATTACGTGCGTCGTGTCTATGTTTATAACAATGAAACATGTGCATTCACTATAAAAAGTAACTAAGAACCAAGACGAAGCAATATGTGGTCAATAAAAAATCTAAGTTTTTTATATCTCGATGCGACTTATTAAGCCACTTATCAGGCATTTTTATAAAAATTGGAAAGAAAACAAAATACAATTTAATGGAATGATGCGTTAAATGCACGCTGAAACGAGCAATTTAATTGCCTTTTAAAGTGTTGGAAAGATGTTGAAAAAGCATCTTGAATAAAACTTGGCAAAACGCTTATGAAAAAAAATTCATAACAATCATTTTGATATCACGATTCATTCTTTAGAGATTCTCTCTTACTTTTTATATTTATTAGATTATTGTTAATCTACTGTCGTTTTTTTATGATGATTATTAACCTATAATAGATGATTATTAACCAATAACCTATAATTCTCTTTCTCTTTTTTTTAATAATTTATTATACATACATATATATTCGTTCATTTATACATGATTATAATATATTATTTAATATTTATATATATTGCTATTATATGGCTATCATTTCATTTAACATTTATCCCCGTTTAATACATTAATAATTGATAAATGATTTTAATATTTTGACTACAATTAAAAATAAGACATTTGTTGAAATTGAATTAAAAGGAAAAAAAAGATGATTGAAAATGACAGACAATTGCTCGTACGTGAGGTAACGAGAGCTACAAACTTAAATTGCAGTCAAAGGAAACACGTAAAACTTACTTCTATTCTAACTTTGTAATGTAGTAAACGTTAATCAAACTACACCCGGCGCGCAGGAACCATTCCGCTGAAGTGTGACAGTCGTCGGAACTATTAAGCTACGCGGAAGAAATGATTCTCTGCAAACTTACTGCATTTCTTGCACGCGATCCTCACGAATTGCTCCGAGTTATTTCGTATTATAAAAAAAATCGTTTACCTTTAATTTATTTGCTAAGACGTTTGTTCGCGTTTCGACTTTGTAGCTTTATATAAATCGGAGGAAATCACGTGAAAAGAACGACTTTCCCTACCGAACCGTGAGAATATAAGAAAACTTAGCTGTTTGCCAGAGAGGTTGAATTCTTTTAGTCGGTCGTTCGAGAGAGATTAACGAAGGCCCACGCACGCGCGCTACTTGATCTAAATCATTACCAAGCCGTTTATTCATCCACGCCATTTGCCTCGAAAATGCGCTGGAAAATTAACTCTCTCCATTCGCGGATCCGTGAAAAGAATCCGATATTGATTTCGAACTATGCCGGCAGTTTTGATAAGGATATCGTCTCGGAGAAAAAAACTAGTAGTATAAATGCGCGGAATGTGAAGTACTATGCAAATGCATAGCGAGATTGCCTATCGATGATCGAATAAAAAAAATGTTAATCTTATTACCGTTATCTTGCATTCATTAATCTATGCGCGATACTCCGATCTAATATTCCTATTATGTTCGACGACGAAATTCCTGCAAGATATTTCCATAATCCGATTCGATGCAATACTTATCGTCAGCCATACGAACGTTGTTACGTGTATCTTAATCGACGGAAAGGAAAGAAGAGCACGCTTACAATTAGTATATAATGAATCTAAATGATTTTGTGGTTCACAATTATAAGGAGCGAGAAAAATCAATAGTATTGAGAAAAGTGATAATTATAATAATGTATTGCAAATCGATTAATATACCGTAACCGTCAATATTTAATCGAAATTTAACATTTTATTTTTTTATTTCCTTGCTATAAAATGCTACATTTTACTAGTATTTGATTATACAACCGTTGATTGAATATGCAGAGAATAAAAACGGACTTACAATCCCGCTTAATATTAAAATCGAAATTATCGATGAAAAAAAAACAATTGAAGGAAAATATTTTTACCGTAAATATTTTATGTCAATTTTATGACGCGTAACGTCTATGCATTTTAATCGCATTAAAGCCTACACAATCTACGGAATGCAGTTTAAGTGCTGTTTATATGCATGAATTATTAATTTAATTTGGCACGGGAATTCTTGTCACGATTATCTAGGAATCGAAATTAAAGTTTATAGTGATCTTCCTGCGGTGAAGATACTATATGTATAAAATTTATATGGAATTCTCCTATTATAGTATCACATGAGCTACTAAATATACAACAATATAGCATTCATAATAATCATCAAGTCACCATAAAATTATCTTATTTAATCGCTTAATACCGCTCTTCCGTTGATCAAATTGGCAAAATAGTGCAACGACTGTGTGTTGCAATGACTGTTTATAAATGTTGTAAATTTGATAGCGTTTACGATTTAACAGAGAAAATGATGCACGCTGAATATATTGCATCATTAAAAAGTCGCGATATATTGAAACTTTATGCATAAAGAAGCGTTTAAATTATACGGTTTTATTAGAGATATATTACTTTGTGTCGCAATCGGCGAAATGTAATTTTGTTTTTTAATATCAATTTAATATCAATTTACAATCGATTAAATATATTTTTTTAATAACAATCGATTAAATATATCTATGATATTAATTATTTTGACCTTTTTACGCGCGGATAAACAGTATCATTAATATGTATCATTCTTTGATATTAAAAAATGTATAAGTAAATAATCAATATCGTGAATTTGTTTCATAAGTTGTTTCATAAGTTATTTACATTAACGTGGTAATCTAAATAATATCCGAACGAATATAGTTCTAACAAGCTTTAGAATGAACTATTTATTGAATTATTTGGGATATTTTAGCATAAGCTCATTTTTCTTTTGTAAAAAATGCGATTATATATTGCAACATTTTTTTTGATCTCGTGCGCGCATACATAAAAGATAAATATATACACTCTATCTATAAATACCTAAATAAAAAATTATATAAAGAAAATATATGTCTACATATAAAGAAAAACGCGCAAATGCATGAAATTTAACTAAGATACGACGTTTTTACGTTTTTGATTTCGCGAAATTTTATATTGGAAAATTTTTTGTGCAGCGCTGAGGATAATAACCCATTTTACTTGCTTTCCATCGTATTCGCAATTTGTCGAGTCATTTGTGTCATGCATGGCGTGGTGATAATTTTGCGGTTTAATAATTAAAATTGAATCACAGAACGAAAAAAGCTCTCTTTTGCCATGGCGCGTCCCTTATGCCTCCTGTCCGATTTTCGTGGTATAATTAAAGTGTCACGCGAGAAGTAATGTTGATAGGGTGTAAAAGTAAGAAGACCGAAGTAACGGACGCATGCCTTTGTTCTTCAGCATTGGGGGGGAAGGGAAAGGAACAGCAGCGAGGTGAGGGGGAAAGCGGGCTTAGCTGTGAGAAATTAAGCAATTAAGCCGCGTATTTTACTACTCGTAGATCCGAGGTTCAGCCAACTCTAGTCTTCCGATCTAGACTCGCTTCGCTGAAACCGTGAGTAGAGAATGTACACCCACGTTATTAAGATATCGCGTAACAGCAAACGCAGGCTATTCCCAAAAAAACAATGAAAAACGAATATAAAAAGTCGATAAAAAAATACAGAAAATAGCACTCGCATCGCAATAAGTTTGGAAGATTTATAGCTAATGTGTGCGATTAAATGTTTCTTTCTGCGTTTATTAAAAATTTGAAGTGATTATTAATCTAATCTGCCGTGATTTATTGACCTTAAAATAATAAGTATACTTGTTTTTCTACATTATAGAATCAAGAATTATTGTGAGAAAATGGAGAAAAATAAGATAAAATTG